TTTGACTTGATTAAAAAAAAATTAGAAGATCTGGCCATTTTGAAGGAAGAGTATCACTGGGTGTGGGCTTTGATATCTCATAAGCCCAAGGCAGACCCAGTTACACATCCTCTCAGCCTCCTGATGATGATACAGCTAACAGCTACTGCTCCAGTACCATGTGTTCCCCACCATGATGCTAATGGAATAAACCTCTGAAACTGTAAGTAAGCCCCCAATTAAATGCTTACTTTCATAATAGTTAGTTTGGTAGTGGTGTCTTCTCACAGCAATAGAACAGTGACTAAGGCAGTAGCTAAGAGAAAGGTGGAAAACGTGTGTATACAAGTACATGTGGACCCTCTGCTTGACTTCTGCAGGTATACCAGTTATCCTCAAGCTCAAGCACTCGTTGCAAAGTTTCAAGGTTCCTTCTGCTCTTTCCATTGCATCCTTTAGCCCCATTGTACTGTAGGTGTTCAGTCCATGCATCTGAGTCCTTTTAGAATACAGTTCATCTCTGCTGTTTCACCTTGAAACCTGTTATCTGTATGACCGTTGGTTTGAAACTGTCAGCCAAAGCCTAGGTTCCTTCATGGGTTCACAACTAAAGGCTATGAACTCCCTTTGCCCAGAATCCAGGAGAGAAAAGTACATAGTTCAGTAGCAAAGTGTAAGAAAAGGACATTATTGTGGGGAAACAACTTGGTGTGGGTGACTAATCAAGGTGAGAGGGAGATTAAAGAGTGCCAGGGTATGGTAGCTTGAATGTATCCTGTATAGTCTCAGGAATTTGAATACTTAATCCCAAGGTGGAAAAATTGTTTGGAGAAGTTGAGGAGAATTTATAATGTTGGAGGAACTATGTTACTGGATGGCCAAAACTCACAAGAATAAGGGTGGGAGGACTGGTATTAAAGAATAAAGAAAACAAAACATAAAGAATACAAAAAAGCAGTCACCGAGACAAGGAGGTTCTAGATTAGCTGGTGACTTAATGCTATGCACGTTTAAGAAATATAGAATCATATATACCATATTCAGGGGAGAATAAAAAGAAAAAATCACACCCAGAAGGAGTGGATGGCAAGAAAAACTAAAATTAGATGCTGAAATTGATAGAACAGAGAAGAAATACAAAGAATCAACAAAAAAGAGTTGGTTCTCTGAGACCATCAAATTGTCAGACTTGCATCCTAATTAAATACAAGGAGAAGGAAAAATGTTCCAATTAACAAAATGAAAAATAAAAAGGAAGATATAACAACAAACATTGAGGAAATACCTGCAATCCTAAGGATATAATTTCAAAACTTGTATTCCACCAGACTGGAATTGTCCTTCAAAGAAGAATGCACAAAAAATTTGGTGCATTTATACAATAAAGTATTACTCAGCAGGTTAAAAAAAATTACATCATGAAATTTGTAGGTAAATGGGTGGAACTAGAAAAAAATCATCCTGTACCTGTATGCTTGACTCAGAAAGATAAACATGGTATATGCATTTGCTGATATGTTAATAATAACTGTCAAGTCAAGGGTCACAAATCTAAGTCTAAAGTACTACACACAGTAGTAACAAACTAGAAGGAAGAGATAGACCTCCTTTGGGAAGGTAAATAGAATAGATAGCCAATATCACCTTCTTTGATGATGAGACAATTACACTAATAGATAGCCAACACAATTTGGTCTTTTACCCTATGACAGAAGAATATCTTCTAGTTGAAAGTTCTGCCTCCTTCCAAAAGAAACAGGTGAACTACCTCTCAGAATGAAGACAAAGTTTTTTAGGGATTTGGTCAAAAACTGACTCCCCAGGACAGGCCCAACACTAAGAACCTATAATTACATAACTAGGAAGTGCAGCTAACCATGTTAAGATTTAAAACTACACAATGACCCTGAAAAAGGGAAATTGCATTCCATACTGCCTGTCTTGGAAAGATAGGAATCATGGTGCCAGGCCAATCACACTGAAACACACCTCTCTTGCATGTGAAGTAACCCAGAACTCTGAATCTCATGAGTCTGATTCCTCCAGAAAAACTGATATACACTTTCTTGGATTGAAGGATTCATTCTTAAACCTCCTATTGGAAAACCTGAGTCAACACATCTTTAATTTTGAATGGGAATACCAAAAGCGAGGTTACAGCAGGCAACTTACCTAGACCAGGGATCCCCATGGATTTAAATTTTTTCTAAACCTCTTTGAACTTCTGCACATCAATCAGAGGTTTCAGAGAAAAATCAATTATAAAAGTGCCACTGAGGGACTAATGCAAATATTAGAGAGCTAAGATAATAGAATCTCAGCTATGAAAGCTCAATTTTATTTCTTTATTTCTCAGGGGTTATTTAACCTTAGTTTCCAGCTGAAGGGAGGCAAAAGGTAACCTAGTTATGAAAAGTCATCTTCTTTTGTTGTTGTTGTTGTTGTTGTTGTTGTTGTTGTTTGAGAAACTTCTCTGTGTAACAGTCCTGACTGTCCTGGAACTCTATTAGTGGACAAGGCTAGTCTCAAACTCACAGAGCTCTGCCTGCTTCTCCCTCCCAAGCACTGGGATTAAAGGCATGCACCATCACCAACTGGCGGAAATGTCATCTTCTGAGTAATGCACAGCCATTGCAATCACAAAATCTCAACATATTGATGAGTACAGAGGATGAACAGCCAGAAATGGATGAAGGAGGGTCACAGAGGACCCATTATCCCTCACTGATAAACTGCTTCCTAGCTGTATATTCAGAGAGGAAAGAATCATTTCCTCTGTTGTGTACACAGGGTTAACTGACCAAGCTCAATAGCACAACCCCAATCCAATTGTCACATATGGGTCTCTGAAAAAGAGTCAGAGCCCACAGTCATGAATATGGAAAAGCGGTGGGACAGGAAAGTGTTATGGACTTCCTAACCCTTGGGAAAGTCCAAGACAGTCCGTTTATAATTAAGAGGATTGTTGATTATTGCTAACAGGACAACAATATCGTAGCCAGACTATTGACTGCAATGAAAAGGGCAACAAAGAAGGAAGTTTAAGGGCAAAAAAAGAACATTGGTATCTGCACAAGCTAGCCAGAAGCTCTTTTGCTCTTCCAAAACTAAGTAGTCAAAGCAACCTCAAAATGGTCCTTGACTGTCTACATAGCAGGAAACAAAAGCCAAAAAGAATGTAGTAATATCATAAGAAGGAGATATTCACATTGTACATTTCTGGGTTGGGGGTCACTGAGTCAGGCTTCCTAGAAAATTATCTTGTATGAACTAAAGCCAGAGACAAACAGCTAGGACTTACCAGGATGGATGCCTAACCAAAAATGGAGTAGTTTCTTTAGTCATTGCAAAGAAATGTAGTTTTTAAGGAGAGGGAGGTATATAAAAATGGTGTGGGGAGAGCATAGGCAAAATGCATTATGTACAAGTAGATGATTATGAGATATTGACAAAGAACTAAATTATTAAAAAAAAAAATACAACACAACTGCAAAGGATCTAAGTCATACAATCAATGCCAGCATGTCAATCCCTCTCATGATGTCATTGAAAACACTATGTAGCCAAAGGAGGCCTACAATGAGTGTTTCCCTGGCCTGCAGCTTCTACTGAACAGGGACTACCTGTGTTCTTATTTTGTAATTTCTTCCTGTATCATTTCCATCCTTATTCCTAATGTGGAATGTGTTGCTGTCCTCTTTCTGTAGTCTCAATATGACAATGAGGTCATTGATTTAGAAAGATATTTTATATATTTATTAATGGTTTGGATCAGGAATCCATAACAACCCAAGACTGTCTAGGAGGCCCTGATGAAAGGACAAAGGGAACTTTAGTCCAGTGTCCTTATCCAAGATCAGACATGAAGACAGTCTGATGCTGGGGCCATTGCCTCCTAGGAGATGAGGTTGCAGGTCTGTGGATAGGACTCTGCCTCCTGGGCTTGGTTCTTATCCTTGTGGATCTGTCTGATGTTCCCTATGCTTTCTTTCATAAAACAGACTTGTCTCTCTGCTAAACTTGCCCCTTTCCCTACTGCTAATAGAATATGAGCTAGTGTGTTTCTTCATAGATTTGTGTGGTGTAAGGCATAACTTTTGCAAAAACTCTCATCTAATTATTGATTTTCACTTCTTTATTTCTTACACTATGTCTTACTGCTCAACCCCTCAGTTTTCATGCTTACTCATGCTTGTTCGGAACAGTTCTGAACTACTCTAGTTCACACTACATTATATTAAGGTGACTTCATCATTCAATTTTGGCTTTATTGACATATCATTGACAAATGGTATATATTCAGGGTAAAAGTGTTTAAACTTTTCATATACAGCTTCATATGCACATGTGTTAACAATGAAAAAAGAGGTCCTGAATTTGAAGGAGAGTAGAGAAGGATCTATGTAAATGTCTGGAGGGAAGAAAGGGAAGAGAAAAATGCTTTAACTATAGTAGAATCTCAAAAATATAAATTAAAGAAAAACACACAAAAATAAAACTTTCTTCATTCCTTTCTTCTTCCTCATTTTAAGCATTGTTCACTGACAAAGCATTTGCCTTATTTATAAAACAAAGGAACAACCAAATCAGATCCCCAAATTTCTCAGAATTTCCTAGAGATTTGTGGTTATATTTTGTTCGCCAAAATATTGTGCATGCTAATAAACTTATCTGGGGTCAGAGAAGAGAACAGCCACAATATTAAACATAGAGGATAGGCAGTGGTAGCACACACCTTTAATCCTAGCATTCCAGAGACAGAAATCCCTCTGGATCTCTGTGAGTTCAAGGCCGCAATGGAAACAGCCAGGCATGGTGACTTTATCCCAGAAAGTGAGCCTTTAATCCCAGAGAGTGATGGCAGAAAGCAGAAAGATATATAAGGCGTGAGGACCAGAAACTAGAAGTATTTGGCTGGTTAAGCTTTTAGGCTTTGAGCAGCATTTCTGCTGAGATTCATTCGGGATGATGACTCAGAGGCATCCAGTCTGAGGAAACAGGATGAGCTGAGGGACTGGCAAGGTGAGGTAACTGTAGGTGGTTCTGCTTCTCTGATCTTCCAGCATTCACCCCAATAACTGGCCTCAGGTTTGATTTTATTAATAAGACTCTTAAAGATTCGTGCTACAGAGACCAGTCATGTTTGCACTATGACTGTCCACCTGAGACAGATCTTGTTTTCTGACATCCCTGAGTTCTCCCTACTCCATGAAATGCAGAGTGTGATTTCCCGGGATTGGTAGAGGCCAGAGTATGATCTCAGGGTGGACTTTTCTGCCTGGAAGAAGGGAGGTTCACATGTCCATGTCTCGTGGTCACAATGCACAGCTGGGCATAGGTCACATCATGTGGCTCCTCTGTTGTAGCAGCCTGCAGTGGGAAAGTGTAGAATAAAGTCCAGGTTGGGCACTGGGAGCATGGGGCACTAGAGAAGTCAGGACCCACCTGTTCATCTATCACTTGATTTCCTTTTGACTGTGTGTCATTGGAGGCCAATAATTCCTTTGGCATGAGAGAAGAATAGGTGATCTCTGTCCTTCTGAGTCTCGAGGGCTTCACCTGGGCATACAAGTCTTTAGAGGGGTCTTCCTCATGTTGGCTCTGCAGCAGAGAGAGACAATGAAACAAATGGAATTGATGTGGTGTCTCGGAGGCTCTCAACACATACTTCTACAGGGAGCAGGAATGATACTTCAGACATTTTTTAATAAAGTAAACTATTGCTGAAGGGGTCTTCTGAAACTTTCTAGCAATATAAGGGTGCGTACCAGTTACTTCTCTGTGCTTCTGAAATATTATCCTTAAATATTTATGTCCTCTCCAGTGCTTCTATCTTCTGGAAAGAGAATGTCCCTATCCTTAGGACACTTGGATCTACCAAGCTGCATACCTAGATGTGGAACTTCATCACAGGTGTGTATGAAACTCTACTCCGGCTTCTCCACAGAAGGCATCTTTCAAGTTACTTTAAAATTCAAACTGATCATCTCTACCTCACATAACTCAACCCATATCCTCTAATATATTTCCCTCATACCCTTTGCACTGCTCAGTCTCAGTTTATCTCCATATCATTTCCCATCTAAGCTGGTCACAGTGGGTAGAGAGTTCTGTCCTTGGCTGTATCTGCAGCCCTGACAGAAGCATGGTCAAGAGGGAGACACAGGAGCTGGGGAGAGGAATCAAGGAGCAGAGTGGTTGCTATGCAAACATGAGCACCTGAGTGTGATCCGTGTGGCTGCATAAAAAAGGACCAAGCAGTAATTCACATGCCTGGGACCTAAGTGATGATGAGGGAGCAACTGGTGCCCAGTGCTCAGTGGCACCAATCCATCCAAATAAATAGCACCATGGACATTAAGAGAGTCTGACAGAGAAAATGAGTTAGAGAAAAATAGATGAAGACATCACATCAGATGTTGACCGCTGTCTTCTGTTTGTGCTTAAACTTATGTACACACACACATTCTCAGGCACATGGATCTCAGTTACTTGCGTTTCATGATCATTTACTTGTTAGTGTTATCACTAAAGTTTGACACAAGACCTTATACATCTAAAGTAATCACTTTACCATTCAACTACAACTTAGGACCCTCTTTTTCTCTTTAGAGCCTCTAAAATCACTTTAGAAACCAGAGAGATGTTGAGGAGTCAGAAAATTGGGGCCATATTGTCAAAAGTAAACAAAGATAGAATGAGGTCATAACACACAGAATATAGAAGCAAAGAGGCAGCTGTGGATGATACTAAGGGCTGAACGGGGGAAGAACAGAGATTGCTGTGGCATTATATTGGGTCATATGTTCTTAGCATTGTGGATAAGCAATAGTCTCACCAGGACATCCAGCTCCATGCTGTCTGCAGGCTGTGTGACCTTCACAGTAGCATCTGTCATAACAAACATGCAAGTTTTCCCCTGACCAGATTCCCAGGACATCTCACATTCCAAGACCCCTGCTATATCCCACATACGGAAGGAGAAGATGTAGGGGGTGTGGGTGCACAGAGAGGGTTCAGTGTCCCAGGCCCTCCTCCACCCCTGTGATGCTGAGATCTCAGACATCTCCCTCCTCCCGGGTCCTCTTCCTCTCACACAAGATTTCTTCCTGGATGGCAGGAGCTGGTGTGGACCTGTAGAAAGAAGAGGGTGTCAACTGACAGCAATGGAGTCAGGCAGGTGAGGTCAATATTTCTGGGCATGAGTTACCTCTTCTGGAAGCTTTTGCCCTTGGTCGCTGAGTCTGCAGGATGTTGCAAGTCAGTCTTTGTCTGCACTGCAAGTGAGGAAGGAGCCTCAGCCAGGAGGGTTGAGCCCCCTACCTAGCACTTTCAGAAAAAGAAGGGACCAACTCATTGCATGTCTGTTAAAATCCTCACAGTCGATGGAAGAGTCCATACAATAGAGGACATTGCACACATTTCCAGATCTCATTTTGTGTTGAGATGCTACAGAACTGTTTCTAAGCTCATGAATCCCAGTCTGGGCTTTCCCTGGGCTGATGCCCTGGGCCTCTGCTTAGATAGCCCATAGTTGGACCCACTCCACATTGAGACCCAGGCCTCCCACACCCTACTCACCCCCCTTCCTGTAGTTCTTCTGATGCCTGAGTTTGAGGAAAAAGAAGAGGACGAGGAGGAAGAGCAGGAGGAAGAAGGCCACAGAGACACCAATCACAGCCTTTTGGTATCCTTCCAGTTCTATGAGACAGGAAACATTGTGAATGAAGAACTGTAAATTAGAACACACGGTGTGTGGCTGAAGAGGCTATCACAGAGCCTTCATGGGTTTGGACTAGTTCCTCTGCACGTATGTTACAGTTCTTAGTTTGGTGTTTTTTGGGAGACTTCTGAGAGTGGTGGTGTGTGTGCATCTGACACTTTTGCCTGCTCTTGAGACTCGATTCTTCTGACTCTTCTCCTTCACCTGCCTTGAGGTGAGGGTTTCTGCCGAATATTATGGTATCATGTTGTGCCATGTTCAGTTAATGCCCCTAAGTGGTCTTCTCTTGGGGGGGGAAGATGGGACAGGAGTAATGGTGTGAGGAAGAGTGGATGTGTGTGGGGGAACTCAAAAGAGTGAAGTGAAGGGAAGTGGCAATTGGAATGTATTGTATTAGAAAAGAATCAGTCAATCAATCAAACAATAGATAAATAATAAAGAACCAACTGTGTGAACACCCAATGTGGACTGTTTGTATTTACTCCCTATCATTGTCATATCCATGTACATGGGACCATCTCTGAACACTTCCAGTAGTTTTTCCTGACCCAAAAGACACCCAGAGAGAAGGTGCATTGCTGAGGATTCAACCCAGTGTCTCTTAAATAATACATTGTCTGCAGTGGCTGGGCTATGGCTGAAAATGTTTAGAGATGTATTTCCTGAGGGAAAATGTAGAGGGCATAATGTACTCAGATTTAAAAATAATGTGGGAGTAATCAGAAATGTTACTCATGTAGTGTGTCTGCTCAATGCAGGAGATAAATACCATCCCTCAGAGGTATAAGAGTAACAGTGATGGTGACCTGCATTCAGTTCAGTCATAGATGGAATGGTGAGTTTTGTCTTATTCTTGTGGACTCTGGATTCATTGGTCCTAGGGCTCTGGGCTTCCCTCTTTATATATAACATACATTAGGTTTTCAAGAGTCACCTCACACCATATGGTAACAGGACTCCCTATGGAGATCATAGAGGTAGGATAAGCCCAGATGGTGGATTTGTGAAGGGTCCCAGCAAAGAATGAGAGGGAAAAGAGAGATGTATCTGTTAGGAGAAGTGCACAGAGAAGGTCACATTTGCCAGTGACATGTAAGCTGATCTGCAATCGCAGGAGAATGCTTAAAGACCTCACTTTTCCTTGGATCATGGGTCCCACTGTTAAATAAACCCTAGATTTTGCACTTCAATTCAAGTTGTAACACAGATCTGTGACACTGATTTCAGTAACCCAAGCTCTTGATCAACCACCATACATCAGTCCTTTCCTGGGATCCTGTGTCAGTTACAATATCATGTAAATTTCTGCACTTCCTTACCTGAGACCACGAGTTCTAGGTGGTTACTGGTCACTGACCATGCCTGAGGGATGCTCAAATCATACCCATAGCATGTGAACCTCCACCTCTAGTTGAGGGTCACAGGACCCACAGTGAACAGGGCTCCAAAGAGCTCAGCATGTATATTCTGTTAGGGCGTGGAGAACTTCTCATCTTCTTTCACTAGAATGAAAATGTTATATGCCTTTTGTGAGACACACTGAAGGGTCACGTGCCCTCCTGAGGTCACCACAGAGCTGGTAATGGCAGACAAGGTGACTTTGCTTGATTAGTATCCTAGGAGAGAAGAGAAAGCCTGTCATGTGGACTTACATGAAAAGCATTTTTCTCCTTTCTCATATTTAAGAAAGGGACTCCCAGTGAACATGTTCCTTTCCTTAAGGAAGAATGTGGGGTTAGTAAAGGTCCTCTCACCTGTCACCACCAGCTCCAGGAAGTCACTTCTTTCTGACATACCATTATTGCTTTTATATTCACACCAATATTGGCCTGCATGGTACCATTCAACCGATGAGATGGAGAATGTGGCTTTGTTTTCAGTTTCTACAAGGGTTGTTGGTATTGGGTAATCTGGACTCCCTTCTTTGTAGAAAGCATATTCCTTCGCCTCTAAAGGTCCTTCACAGAAGAATTTCACCTGGTTCCCAATGCCTACCACATTTCTTGGCACTGCCTGGAGTGTAGGTTTAGAGAGGGCCCCTGAAAGAAAATTGACAGCTGCTTTCCCAGAACTCTCCCTCAGATGTCAGCTTCTCAGACTTAGGAAATTTCAGGTATCCCCGGCATTACCCCCACACCAACTGCCCTTCATCTTCCCTGTTCAGGAATTACCTGTGGTCCCACCAAGGATGTCCAAACTGGGACAGCTGAGAAGACACTCACCTGCCAGTACTGGGATCCTGAGGTCCAGACTCAGTCCTGCAAAAGAGTTAGTTACCTGTGAGAGTTTTCACTGAGACATGAGCATGGCCTCCACTTCCAAATGCCTTATAGAGCTGCTGAGACATCCTGATGGACCAATTCGTGGTTGTGAGGTGGATTCCCTATCAGATGAGAATTCTCCCTCCCCATTTGACATCTCACCAAGATAGAGTAGACCTGTAAAAAGGGGGGTCATGGCATCTTCCAGTTGCCACAAGTTTACAGAAGATCGGCCTCTTTTCCAAACACACCCAGACACAAAACTTGTGGCCTGTGAAGACTGGGTTCTGCTTGTGATCATGAGGAAGCCCCTGAGGAAGAGGAACTGCTCTAACCAGGCGCCTGACTCTTCTTTCCTCTGCTGTAATGGGTTGGCTTCCAGAATTTGTGGCTTCTGTCTCTCCCTGGTTCCTTAGTTTTTGTTTCTGTTTCTGAAACAGAACCTCTTAAACCTCATGCAAGTCTCAGACTCCTCCTCATCCTTCCGCTTGCTGAGTGCTGGGATTACAAGCCCAAGTCTGATTGTGGTCTCTTCTTTCAGAACATCTCCACTGTAACCATCTACATCTGCCTGTATGCTCCCAGTCACCACAGACCAGGACTTAATGCAAAATAAACCTCGTGACTTCCTGAGTCAGGAACTCCACTTGAGGGACTCCAAGGTGGTTGGTCTTTTTCTCTCAGATGGTCTTCTTGGATCTCCTTTACTCCTGCAGCTAGACAAAGCTCATCACCAACTTTCTAGCTTTCTCAGAGATGCTTTGTGGATGTTCTGTTAACTTTACCTAGGGATACAAGCTCAAATCCTACACACCCAACATCAGACAACAGTCTCCATGGCAAGACAAGACTCCACACAAATCTACCTGATGGAGCAATGAGTTATATTAGGGTTCCCTGAAAGCCTGTCATCAATCTTGGTTTTTGGGGATATTTTGTTTTTGTTTGTTTGTTTGCTGAAACAGGGTCTCACTATGTAGCTCTGCCTGTCCTGGAACTCACTATGTAGTCTAGACTAGATCCATCAACAGTCTCACATACGACTGTTGAGAACTGTGTGCTCCACTATGCTCATCAATATTGGAAACTTTTCAGTGTTTAGATTCATGAAAAAAAAGCTTTGCCTACAACTTTTATCTGCCAATATTTCTGTTGGAAGAGGAGTGGCCTTAGGAGCCTCTATACCACGAAGGAATATTCATGGGGCCAATCTTATGCAGGTGACCTGTGTGTAATCACACTTACAGGACAAGAGTACCGCCATGCCTGGAGAGCACTGTTCTACAACAAGGGGAGATGCAGGCTGATGCTGCTGTGATCAAACAGAACAGAAGGGACACAACAGCTCCTGATTCTTGTGCCAGAGTTTTTTGACTCCCCATGGGAAGTCTTACTCTCTGTGAGGAGTGGGTGGGGGAAGGGATGAGCAGGAGGAGAGGAGGCAGGGGAAACCGTGGTTGGAATTAAAATGAAAAAAAAATCTTTTAAATGATAAAAATTAAAGATAATTTTGGCTAAGGGAAAAAAAAGAAAAGAGGCTAACATTGTTCATTTCCTGAACCTACCCTTCTTAAGTATCATTGCAGGGAGACTTCCTCCTCCATGGAGGCTGAGGTAGGTTCATTGTCTAAAAGAATATTGGTAGCTGTGTATGCTCTGTGCTCTATCTGCAGATGGGCACTGCAACAGCTCACATTACTGTCTGGTGCCCACAGTGACAGTAAAATAGATTAATTCCTACTTTTATCCATAGCTATATTGTCTTATGTGTATTGTGGGATATTTATACACTGTGTGAAACAGTTTTGCTGTGATTGGGGGTAATAAAAAAGATGAATGCTAGGAAGGAGGTATAGCTGGGAGAACTGGGCAGAGAGAGAACTCTTGGAAGAGAAAAAGCAGAGTCACCAGTCAGACAATAGACAAAGGGAGGTGTAGCAAGAATCTTAACAGTTCTGATTAATAAAATAAAACCTGAGGCCAGTTATTTTTGGGGTGAATACTGGAAGATCGGAGAACCAGAACAAGCCACAGCTACCTCACCTCACCAGATTCTCAGCTGGTCCTGTTTCCTCAGACTGGATGCCCCTGAGTCCTCATCGAGAATGGCTCTCAGATGAACTGCTGCTAGAAGCCTGAAAGCTTAACCAGCCAAATGCATAACCAGGCCAAATGCTTCTAGTTCCTGGTCCTCATGCCTTATATATCTTTCTGCATTCTACCATCACTCCCGGGGATTAAAGACACGTTTTCTGGGATTAAAGGCATGAGTCACCGTGCTTGGCTGTATCCTTGAACACATGGATTTCTGTCTAGCTCTGCCTCCCAGATGCATAAGTCATGAAAGGGAACTGCTTACTTGCTTGCTTTCTCTGGCATGCTCAGCCCAGCTTCTAATAGAACCCAGGACCAGCAGCCCTGGAATGTCACAACCCACCATGGTGTCCTTCCCCCATTGATCACTAATTGAGAAAATGCCTTGCATCTGAATCTCATGGAGGCATTTCCTCAGTTGAAGCTTATTCATCTGATGACTCTAACATGTGTAAAGTTGACAAAATATACCCAGGTATATATGTGACTGCTTGTAAATAGACACACAAACATATCAATATTAAGCCACATCCTATCCTTTCTTATTCATCACCAACATCTTAAATAACTTTAAAAGTCTCACAATATTTACAAATTCAATACTTAAATTTTCCTCCCTTAAAAAAAAACCCATCTCTTTAAATCCAAAGTCTTTTTAAATTAAAAGTCTCTCAAGTATGGGCTCCAGTAAAATAACTTCAATAGGGAGGAATCAGGACACAGTCTTGATCAAATCAAGGCAAAATGAATATTGGAACCCTCCAATATCTGGGATCCATTCACATTGTACTATAATCTCCAAAGGGCTGGGGTCGCTCCTCTGGCTATGACCTCAGCAGTGCACACAGCTCATTTTCTAGGATCTGACTGGCTCCTCTCCACAACTACTGTTGTTCTTGGTGGTCATTCCCTTGCACTGGCATCTCCAAGCCACAGGGCTTCTCTGCTGCAACTGGGCTACACTTTCACCAAAATCATCTCATAGGCTCTCCTCATCATGCCAAGCCTCGAATTCTTTGCAAGACCCCTTCAGTCCTGAGCCTTCAAATGCCATTAAAGGTGCACCATAACCAATGTCCTCTGCTTTCCTCTCACAGTGTCAATTCTCTCCTGATCTTCATGACCCCTTCATGCCTTCAAAACCAGTACCACCTGGGTCACTCATACACATTACCAAGTCTGGCTGCCCCACCATGAACAACCTTGGCTGCCTCTAGAACACAGCTTCTCTGTGATCTCAAGAAACACTTCCAGGCATATTCCACGTCAGGGATTCTGGTCTCTTCTTAATCTCTGCTAGTATCTTACCTCCAGCTGACCAGTTTCTACTTTCCCAGTATCATAAAGGTTTTATTTCAGTAATTCTGGTATCAGGTTAATCACCACTGATTCTTCAGCTCTAGGTAACCCCAACCACAGTATTGCCTAAGTAAATCTGGTATCTTGTTAATCACCAATGATTCTTCAGGACAGTCTACCCAGAACCCCAGGATGATTTAGTAGTTCTGGTATCTTGTTAATCACAGTTGATTTTTCAGCCCCAGCTAACCAGAACCACATGTTCTTAATTCAAAAATAGAAAATGGCCCTCATATTTTCTTTAAACTTCCCTCTAATATTTTAAAAGCAAATCAGGCCTCATTTTTCCACACTTCTCTCAATATCCTTATCTTCCATGTTTCCACATAACATCCTACAGAGGTCTTTCAACACTCAATGGCACTTCTAGTCGAAAGTTACAATGTCCTTCCAGAATCCTCCAAAAAACATGGTCAGGTCTGTCACAGCAATACCCCACTACACTGGTACTAATTTGTCTTAGTGAGGGTTTCTATTGCTGTGATAAAACACCATGACCACAAGACAAGTTGGTGAGGAAAGGGTTTATTTGGTTTACTCTTCAGAATTGCTGTTCATTAGTGATAGAAGTTGGGATAGGTAATCAAACAGAACATGATCCTGGAGGCAGGAGCTGATGCAGAGACCATGGAGGATGCTGCTTACTGACTTGCTACCCATGGCTTGTTCAGCCCACCTTATTATTGACCCCAGGACCAGCAGCCCAGTGAAGGCACAACCTGCCTTGAGCAGGGTCTTTCCCCTTGATCACTAATTGAGAAAATGACTTACAGTTGGATTTCATGGAGGCATTCCCTCAACTGAGTTTCCTTCCTCTGATGAATCTAACTTGTGTCAAGTTCACAAACAAAATCAGGTGACACACAGGGAAATGAAGAAGGAAACATGGCATTCCCATGGTTCTGTATTTGATACTATTCTGCTAAAAAATACTCCTATAGATTCATTGGCTTTTCTTATGGACATACATGACTTTTATAGGTACATCATGTCAGCATTCTTACCACTTAGGTATTCCTAGTTCATTGTTCAGATCCTGCTAGATTTTGTGGAGGATGATTTTGATTTAATGCCTGTTTATAAACAAATGTCCATTCCAACTTAAATGCTGTTTACATCTCAACTATGAGCTACAGCATCATGCTGACTGTCTAATATCAGTGTCATTTTCACCACGTATATGGGGTCAGCATGGCTTGTGACTTGGAAGAACAAGGATTGGTTAACTTTCAGAGTGTTTTACAATGTACTTGGAAGGAAAGTAATTTGGTTATGTACATGTTATGTTTAAAGGGGCCAGGACTGCTCTCCTGTTTTGCAAAGGGTTCATATATTAGGTCTAAAATGTAAATGTCACCAAACTACACTTATGAGCTGAAAAGCAGAAGTGAAAACTAAGTTCCCAAAATGCAGAAGGTTCTATGTTCAAGGAAGGAGGTTAACATTGTGCATCCTTTGACCTACACTTGTGAAGGATCATTGCAGGGAGACTTCCTCCTCCATGGTTGGTGGGGTAGGGTCAGTTCTCCAAATGATTGTTAATAGCTCTACCCTATCTGCAGATGGGTACTGCAAAAAATGATCCCACTGTTGATGGTGATCCCACCATCTGTTGCGCACATTGGGAGCAGAATAGATTAATTGAAGCTTTATCCACTGGCATGTTATCTCATATGTGGGTATCAGTTTCAGTTTGAAAGTCAGAGTTAACCCTTCCCTGGGAGCAGCATAGAATGTAGCTCATACAGATACTTCCAGGTATTATCTCCAGCACTAGTTTTACTTATTGACAATGAAAATACCAAACTCAAGCTTTGCTTTTCCCTTCAATATGTATCAGGTTCATTTTCAGTTTCTATAGCTTGACAATTGACACTGTATCATTACAAAGAAATGTGGTGCGCTTAGCTGGTAATGTTGGGA